TAAAAAAACACGTTTTTACCACGTGTTTATATATATATGTATGTGTATATATGTATATGTATGCGAGTGTAATATAATAATCATCAATGCAATGTCTATGTTTTTCTCTGACACACATGGCATGACCAATGTTAGATGATAGTGGTAAAGTTAGTGTTATATTGGGATATTTAGACATTCTCCTTAATATTATTATGTCAGAAAAGTATTCTTTACAAATTCTAAATAGGGAAATCATATTGGCAGCCAATGACGATCAAAGTACAGCATAGTTCACAGTCAGTTGATGTTGTTTACAAGTCATACTGGCATGCTAATTCCGATTGAATATTCAAAGTAACATGCTAAACAATATAGAGTCTGCTAAATAAACGAATGTGCCAATATAAAACCTACTTTACCTCTATTGACACACGTGTGTTGCCAAAGCATTTCTGATGTTTACATTAATTAAACTGAACAAATGAAAACTATTGGCATAGTAACAGCGAAGGAAAACACACACACACACACACACACACACACACACACACACCATAACTACCAGCATATTTAAATACGCACAATTAATAAAATGATGTGTTATAAACCGTATATTTAACAATCACCTTCATGTGATTGATTTCTAACAGTGTTGAATTGTTGTTGAACAGGTGTGATGGCGTCTGCAGGTGAGGGCGGTGTGGACTCTAAAGCGGAGCTCAGTACTCTGCTGGAGCAGTGGGAGAGAGAGCAGCAGGGGGCGTCCAGCGAGCTGCTCAACATACTCACCAAGTAGGAGAAACCTGTGTGTGTGTCTGTCTGTGTGTGTCTGTGTGTGTCTGTGTGTGTCTGTGTGTGTCTCTGTGTGTCTCTGTGTGTCTGTGTGTGTGTGTGTGTGTGTGTGTGTGCGCGTGCGTGCGCGTGTGTGTGTACGTGTACAAGTGTGTGTGTGTGTACGTGTACAAGTTTGTGTGTCTTTATTCCCTGACTCTATATTTTAAATGTCAAACACTGACTAATGGACAGACGGCTGCTTCTCACTCAGGGCTGCTGTTTATGCTAATGAGGGAGAGATGGGCACTAGTGGGCGGGGCTTTCCCCCTCTGATGACACGTACAAAGGGAGAATGTCAATCACAGTGTTTCTGCATCAAGTCTGATTAGAAAAACACAATTCACTACTGTTGACCATTAGAAGCGGCTTATATTCACACACTGCGGACACACGACTGGGTTCAAACCCTGCATAAAGGTCATTTCTGCATAATAGATGCACTTTTAATTTCTTCCACGCAGCATTAAACACTTGGATGTCAATTTTGACTGAAATATGACAGAAATCTTTGCATCTCCAAATTGGTGAACTCAGTGACTTCATTCTCCAGTAATTCTGTGCTCAAATTAAGACATTAATGTTAATAACTCTCCTAATCTGTGCAGGATTTCAGAGCTTGTTGAAAGAGAGACGGAGGAGTATCATAAGGCAGATCCTGACCCGTTTGATGATCGCCATCCAGGTCATACTGATGCTGAGATTGCATTACTGTTTACAATATTTATCTTATTCATATGCTGTAATAATAATAATATTATCTCATTTTTGTTTTGCTGTATAGGCCGGGCAGACCCAGAGTGCATGCTGGGACACCTGTTGAAGATATTGTTCAAGAATGATGATTTTATGAACGCGGTAAGATGAGTGTGAAAGAAAGAAATCATTTAATGACTGTTAAAAGCTTAATCATGACTTTTGTTTTGGGCTGATTTTATATATTGAGTTGTTTGTTTAAGGAGATTGTTATTTTATACACGTTTAGTTTTTTTAAAATATTTCCCAAGTGCAAGTAATGGAGAGAATATTGTTTTACGAACACTTTTACACATAATTAAATTATTTTATATGTATCGTCACCTTGGAATTATAAGGTTCTCTCTGCGTTCTGAATGATTTTGTGATATTGAGCTTTAAAGATTTTGCATTCCGTATAGCAAACAGTGTGTGTGCAGCATTAGTTTTTGTGAATAAAAAGTCTTAAAGGGTCATGAAACTCCGTCATATCAGCAGGGTGTTTTCACACCTCTACTTTGGAAAAAGTCCGAAAAGTGGGCGTGTCCAGCTCTGTATAGGGGGAGTGTCAGAGGAAGAAAAGTGGGATATATATATATATATATATATATATATATATATATATATATATATATATATATATATATATATATATATACATTTTTCTTTCTTTTTTTTCCTTTTATTTCTGTTTTCCAATAACTTGTTTTCCAAGTTAATCTAATGGTCCATTTCCACCCTGCAGTATGGTTTGGTGCAGTTATGCTAACGCTAATGGTTTACAGAGAATCATATGCCAGAAGAATGACAACATATGAAGCACCATTTTTAAATACACAGCTAAGATATGACACCGTAA